AAATCAGACAATATTATTACTAGACTAGTAGCATGTTTGATCAAGCTTTTTTTGGGTCAAAAATATTTTTATTTTTTTTTCGTCAAAAGTACTTTTGACCAAAAATTGAAGTGTTTGGCCAAGCTTTTGGAAGAAAAAAAAGTGTTTTTGAAGAGAAGCAGAAGCAGAAAAAATAGCCTCTTTCCAAAAGCACTTTTCTAATAAGCACTTTTGAGAAAAATATACTTAGAAATAATTTTCAAAAACTTGGCCAAACATTAATTACTGCTCAAAAGTGTTTTTCTAATTAATTAGCCAAACACAAACTACTTTTTACCAAATCACTTTTTTTTAAAAGTATTTTTGGGAAAAATACTTCTCAAAATAAGCAGATTTTAGTAGTTTGGCCAAATGAGCAGGTTGTCTATTATAATAATTGGTACCAAATCTTTTTTGCTTACAACGTTGGGTAATACTGAGAGCAACCTTTTTCGTCTAAGGACATATATTTAATTATGGAATTTTACGCCCTATAGAAAATCTTAGTACCCTATTTATTTTAAATAAATATCATTTTAAAATATTACATCCTATAAATACCTTTTATCCTTTATAGCAAAAAATTTAAATATAGTTACATCCTATAATTAAGGCACCATATATGCTAAATATTATTTTTCTCTCTCCCTTTTTGTATTTTCTCTCACATAATTACCGCGTATCTGCAAATCCCAATACAATCTCTCTGTTTGCATACAACCAGACTCTCTTCTCCCACAAACCCTAGTTTCTTAACTCTTCTCCCACCCAAATTCTCAATTTTCTGCTCCGCGTCACCAACGTTATCATCAGACATTGTCTGAGCCGGAATATGAGCAACCACACTCGCGTACTTCACAAAAGATCCGGATTCGGGCTGAGCTGTCAGCAACAGCACGCGAGCACCGTTCGATTTGACCGGATCTCGTGTTGCGGCGGTCGTTTTTTCGCCCACCGGAAAGCCGTACACTTGCGGCAATGTTAGTTCTGCAATTGAGAGGCACTTTTCAAGTTTTTCAGAGCCATCATCGTCTGGGCTGAATTCTCATCATTCTAATTCTAATGATGTTTCTGGCAGTTCCTCGGGCCCAATTGGAGGAGTGTTCATGTCGAAGACGCAGTGGGCTGACAAACCCAGCCTATTTGTATTCAGTTGTATTCAAATGTATTTTTCAGCTGTATTCACTTGTATTCAGGTTTAATCAGTTGTATTTAACTATTTTATTCCGCAGAAGTTAGTTGTATTCAAGTATTTTATACAACTGTATTCAGTTGTAGTTAGTTATATTCAACTATTTTATTCAACAGAAGTTAGTTGTATTCAAGTATTTTATACAACTGTATTCAGTTGTAGTTAGTTATATTCAACTATTTTATTCAACAGAAGTTAGTTGTATTTTTTTTGCATTCAAGAGTTTATTCAGCTGTATTAAGTTGTATTTTTGTTGTATTCAAGTATTTTATTAAGATGAATTAAGGTGTATTTTGTTGTATTCAACTGTATTATTCATATGTATTTCTCTTTATTCAGCTATAATCTTTATTATGTATCTTTCAAATACAGATTAATGAGGGATCGTTTTAGTTCGTTGAGTTAAATTAGGAGAATATCAAGTGATTATATTTCCTTCCGTTTTTAGCGCAAATACGTTACTGTATTTAATGTTAATGTCGCTTGAATACAGCTAAATACATGTCAAACTTAGCTGGAATTCCAGATTTTACACCTATGTTTTTGGTTGTATTAATGAATACAACAGCTTAAGTACATGAAATACATTGTATAAAAACATAAAAGATATCTATAACACGTAATATAACAAAGTATATCTATAAATGACTAATTAGACCAAAAAGATGGTGTTTTATGAAAAATTCCCTTTAATTATTACGGCAAAAGCATTATCTTCTTTTGATGTTCATTAATGAATACAGTAACTGTAATTAGCGTTTTTTTTTTTATTCAATCTAGCGTTTCACTTTTTATTAATTCCAGTGATTCCAACAGTAAATTAAAACGCGCGAGAAGTTTGAATGTATAATAAATGAATATTAACATTACATAAAACTGTTTGGATTCATCACAACAAAACATGAGGAAATCAGTTGACAGTGGCACCGACGGGGCTACCAAGTAGTGGCCTAAAATTGACCATATCTTGGTTGTAAAACTTAATTGGTGTAAGTTTAAATTTTGTGTACTAACATTGTGGATATTTTTATACCTTCATGTTCAGTTGATAAACAATAACAGGTAATTTCTCATTATAAGAAGTCTAATATGATAATTTTAAAAATAAAAAAATGACATGTTATCATTAATTTAATCGCATTGATTGTGTTATAAATGTTCAGTCTAAATATATATGTGTGCCACCCTCGAAGTTGAATATCACACGCATGGAAACGGAGAGAGGAAAAAAAATAAAGTTTATCAAACTTGTTTAATTTGGTTAAATATTTGTGAAAATTTTCTTTTTAACTTTTTTTTAATATAGACACTTAGAGCCTGTTTGGACATAAGAATTTTTTTTTCTTTTTTTTTTCAAAAAAAATTCACTTTTTTTCGAAATCAGTGTTTGTTCATAAAATTTTCAATTCTCACTTGAAGATGCATTTTGGAAATTTTCGAAAATTTGGAAAACTCCAAAAAACTGTTTTTCAAATTCACTCAAATCACTCACAAAACTTCAAAAACAACCCAAAATTATATTCATGTCCAAACACAACTCTAAATTTCAAATACCATTTTCACTTGAAAATTTTTTCACCATATTTTAGAATTTTACAATTCTTATGTCCAAATGCCCACTTAATAAATTTCTTTGAAAAGAACGTTTCTTGAAACACTTACGAAATTACTGTTAGGATATACTATTTTTTTGTAATAAATATGAATATTACCATAACAACCAATTGCTTTACATCCTATGAGCATCAAGTGTACTAGCTCTTCTAGTACATCAAGACCTCGAACAAAAAACACCTCTTCTAAGTACAAAATTCTATGACTTTAGAGTTAACAAACTACAAGAATCCTACCTACAGACACTTCCTAGTTACATAATCTTTGTATCATCAGTGGACATTGCTTTGCTCTTTTAGACTCTACAAACATGCCTATTCTATCCACCATCTCCTTCTTAATTTACCCTACACAAAACTCCACATTCAGACTAATTTGTCTGAAAATTCTCCAGTTCCTCGTTTGCCAAGTGTGGTATACAATTGCTCCTATAATTATTGTTGCAACCTCCTTCCTTAATTGCTTCCAATGCCTTCTGTTAATCCATTGTATCATCTCTGGTATTGCCATGTTTGGTAAACTGATTGTTGCCCATCTAGTTAGAGCATCTCTCATGTTTTTAACCCAACATCAATCCCCAAACAGATGCTGCTGTGTCTTTATCACTCCCAGTTCACACAGGCAACATTCAACATCACCTGTGATAGGAATGTTCAGCTGTATTAGTCTGCTTTTTGTTTGCATTTTTTGTTGGTATGCCAGCCACAGGACAAATCTGTGTCTTGGTAGCGTTACCCTACTCCATATCAAATCCATTTCCCTACACCTTGACATTTGTCCTAGCATTACGTTGTAACTGCTAGATACAGAATAATCTCCATTGCTTGTCAGCCTATATGTTCTTCCATTATACCATTGTGCCATATTATGCTTTAAATTGTTTATCTTCTTCCAATACCAACTACAATCAGAGGGTGGATTATGCTCCCATATGCTTTTACAAGATTTCATATACACCCCATGTACCCATCTCACCCACAGTACCTTCTTGTTTGTCACTAATTGCCATAGTAGTTTTCCAATAGAAGCTATGTTCCAATGTTTACATCCCTTAATGTTCAGCCCTCCATATTTCTTTGGCCTGCATAATACCTCCCATGATACCAATGCCATCTTCCTGTGTCCTTCTGTAGTGCCCCATAGATACTCCCTGCACTTCCTATCAATTGCTCTTATAACACTTTGAAGGAGTATAAAGACAGCCCCCAAAAGTTGTATATTGCAAACAACACTGCATTGCTCACTTGCAATCTACCTGCATATGAAAGTAGTTTAGCATAACCTGCTTGAATGTTTGTAGTGATCTTCTCTACTAGCTGGTGACACTCTACTTTGCTCCACTTCTTTGATGTTAGTGGAAGCCCCAAGTATCTCATAGGTAATGTACCCACTGAGAATCCTGTATCTCTTACTATAGTCTGTTTTGTTGCTTCATTTATTCCTGCTAAGAATATATTTGATTTCTCCATATTATCTACCAGCCCTGACACTTCACTGAAATGATTCACTGCTTCCAGCATCCTATGGATAGATTGACTGTTACCTTTGCAAAATAACATCAGATCATCTGCAAATATCATGTGTGTCAGCTTGGTTGTCTTACACATGGGATGAAATTGAAAATCAGGTAATTCACTCATTTTGTTCAACCCTCTAGTTAGGTACTCCATGACAAGTACAAACAGTAGTGGAGATATAGGATCTCCCTACCTCAACCCCCTTTTTCCTTCAAAGTAGCCATATCCTGCACCATTCACTTTTACAGTGAAAGTAGTTGTTGTAACACACACCATAATCAGTTGGATAAATGACATTGGAAAACCATAGCCTCTGAGGACCTCCTCCAGAAATTCCCACCTAACCATGTCATATGCTTTCTTTAAGTCAATCGTCATCAAACATCTTGGGGTAGTCTTCCTATTATAATATCTTAGAAGATCATGTCATATAAGCATATTGTGTATAAATGATCTACTTTCAATGAATGTTGCTGGATTATCAGCTACAATCATAGGAATAGCTTTCCTCAATCTAATACAAATGATCTTAGAAATACATTTGTAGATAACATTACAACAAGCGATATGTCTAAATTGGCTTGCCTGCAAGGGACTCCTCACTTTTGGTATAAGGGCTATAACTAGTTGAATTTATCTGAGTAAGTAATTCCCCATTCTCAAGAAAATTCTAGCACTGCCTTGGTCACATCCTCTCCAATTACTGACCAAGCTGCTTTATAAAATCCACTCCCATATCCATCTGGACCTGGACTTTTGGTATCAGTTATACTGAACATTGCTTTTTTCACTTCTGGCCCTGTGTAAGGTCTTATCAATTGTAGTTGTTGAGTAATTGATAGCACTTTCCCATTCTTCAAAAAATTCTGAATGGCATAATCCCTGAATCTTCCCTTTGTCCCTAGTAGCTCCTGATAGTATTCCACAAATATTTCTACTATCTCTTCCTGCTCAGTTTTCATGTCTCCAGACTTATCAGGGAGTTGGATAATTGCTTCTCGCAGCCTCCTGTGCTTTATAACTGAGAAGAAATATCTATTATTATCATCTCCCAGCTTGATCCAAGTAGTTTTGCTCCTTTGTTGAAGGTATACCTCTGCCAAGTAGGATGATCTATTGAATTTTTTGAACTTCTGATTTTCTACTAACTGTAGCTCAACATCCACTGGATTTTTATGAAGTTCTGCTTGGGCTGCAGCCAAAGCCATTCTGTCTGCATCAGCTTCTTCAATAATATTGCTGAAATAACTCCTATTCAACATCCTCAATTCCTTCTTCATCAT